TAAGTTCAAAATACTTGCTAATTTTTGTTTATTTTCTTTGCTTTGAATTTACAAGAACATTTTTACCAACAGTCAAGTCAAGAAACCAAGCAAATCGTTACTCACAGTGCTCTCTCGTGTTGTTATTCAATGCCGTCTCTTCACACTCGAGCGCGGTTTTATAACAAACGTTTATTATGAGCTTTTCAGTCATCATTTCTACATATGTAATGTTTTTAAAATACGCCATTAGATTTGTCCTTTCTTGTAAATGTTTATATGCTTTGCATCGATTTAATTACTTGTTACTATACGTCTACGCGTCTTGTTTATAAGATTGAAAGAAACAGTATTGTATTGTCTGGGACTAGAGCCCAATATTAGCAAATGTAAACATTTGATACTAGCCAAACAGAGAAAGTCTGTCAGTGATTATAAAATTTTGGATTTAGTACATAGTATTCGGTGATTATAATAGGCTTTAGCCTTTTTCTTGGTCTTTATTAATCATAATATTTTCCTAATATACTAAATCTATATATTGTGAATTTACACAGACTGTCATACGAATAAACATAAATTTTCGAGTTTTCTACTTCTACTAACATTTTTAAAGTTTTCATTGTGAATCATCTGTTTATTTCTAGTTCATTAGTCATTAATATGCTCTAAAAAACAAGGCTCTAAAATATATTTGTATATTTACTTGATAGTGTCATAGACATAGTGATATATGCATTTACAAGCAATCCTGGATATGATAAAGACGATACAAGCTGTCCATTAAAAAATAACGGGATTCTATTCCACAAAGAAAAATATTTAAATCTCACTTGTATTATTAACAATATATATAAAGCAAAAAATTTAAACTTGTGTGAGTTGTGTCAAAACGAAAGCTGTTTATAAAATCTATAAATGTCGTAAACACTATTATTAATATAAAGTGCCCATTGAAAGACATAATATAGTATATTGACTATTGTCGTTTGACTTATCTTTGATGTATGATTTTAATACTGTAGATTTTCAACAGACAGCTAGACTTTAACATATACCATGATTGTTGAGTTTCAGCAATGCCAAGGGCCAATGCAGGAAGTTTTATAAGCTTTTATAGTCAACAATCTGGATACAGTTGGCGTCTTGGCGGCGATATTTCGGAAATCAAAAGCTCTCGCTATTTCGTTGCAATTGCATGCCACATCTCATCAATAAATAAATTCTTTTGGTTCGTGTATCTAGATATACTTTCATAACAATTAAATAAATGAATAACCACATTGTTCGGTCTAGATATATATATTTTCTTGTACTGCTTTATTATATTGCCACGCCGTCTACGCGTGCTTTCTCAGTGACAAGTCTATAAGTTGAAATCTGATCCAATTTGCTTGAATTGTAACTCGACACTAGATTGTAGAGTAGAAAGTCACATCACGATAAATATTAATTTTTAATTGCGGTTCTTTTCACGAATAATCACGATTTCTTTGAAGATTCAATGGTTATTGTTTATATTCATAGAGCGATCTAATTAATTGTCACAATATATACTCACTCCCCCGACCCTAGTAAACAATACGCCATTTTACGCAAAATCCGCGGGTCACGTGACCAGGCCATACCAGGGAATTTCGCTCCCCAAGAGCAAATACCCTGGGTACGAGGTTGAGAACAACC